GTTCATTTGTGTACCCTGATAACAGGCCTAGGCTAGTTCTAAGAATTCAATTTACCCCTGCAGAGTAAAGGTAGGGGTTGAGCAGCAAAAACTGCTCTCGTAAGACGGATTACCCCCAAAGTACTCATATGAATCATAAGAAATGATCCAGGACGGAAAGAATTAGACTTCATCAAAATTAGATTTAAAATATCTTTAAATCCGAATATTATCCACATTTAGTTCCTATTCCACGTGCACACAGATCGGAAACAGGATTGATGACGGATCTAGGTTTGAGTTTATCCGTATCCTGGATGTAATAGATTAAGACGGATACCCCCGAAGGGACGGATACACTTGCAAACCCTGCCAGGACGATGAACCTAGTTATTACACTAACCCGGAGTAATCCAGGCAGCTCTGATTTCTGTAGAACTAGAAGGATTTTGAGAAATGATGTTGGTTGGCGTAATTAATCTAAATTGTTCTCAGCCTGGGACAATCCCTTGTCTGTGCTGGGCCCATCATACTTTTAATGGTTGGGCCCTAGACTCCCCTGGGCTCACCAGGCTCAGTTTTCATCCTTGGTTGAGTTTTCTCACGATACCAACCCTAAACAATGGTTGAATATGATAGTATTGCAATTTAACAAGCGAACTAAAGGACCTGTAACTCCTCCTGGGCCCGGATATAATATCAGCTCCAAGACTTGGTGTAGTCTAGGGAAGGGTCATTGGCATTTTCATTAGCTATAATATCAACAGGGCCGAGGTATGATACTTGAAACTTCACAGTCTTTAATTAAGTAAAAGGCTGAATTGTTTAATATCTTGAAGGGGGTAACCCTCCGTAAGTGTCCAGGTGTATAGTTTAGTCCAGGTTATTGGCTTGTGTCCCTTTATCCAGACATATTGATGTCGCAGTGCTCGGATATCCTGATATCCTGATATCCTGATATCCTGATATCCTGATATGCTCAAACCCTGGGCTTACATCCTTGTTTGTATCCATACACCCAAGCCAACTCAGGGCCTGAATTTGGATACTTGTTTATAATCATATATCTAGACCTATTTAGAACCTTTTGCACGAATTCATAAATCCATTTCTGCTCAGAGCCCTGGCTTTGGTCCTGGTTTATATCCACATATCTATTTAGGACCTGAGTTCCGGTCCATAAATCCAGGTTTGCCCAGAACCCTGGCCCTGGTTCTGGTTTTTAATCCATATATCCAGGTTTGCTTTGGGCCCGGGTTCTGGTCCTGGTTTGTAACCACGTATCCAGGTCTGTTCAGGGCCCGGGATTGGATCCTGGGAGTGTCTGGGTTCGTTCCTCTCTTCTCCAGGACACTCACCCCGCCTTGAGACCAGGCACAGGTTCACAGGTTCTCCAGGCAACACGAACCAACCTGATGCATGATTCTACTTATATCATCCGTCCCAACCCTGCGCCTCAACTCTTCTCTTTATTCTGGTCGAACCCTAACTCTTGTCTGGGAATTATTTTTGCATCAGGTTGAACTGGTTTATCTCAGAGCATAAAACATTTAACATTTAACGTTATCAAATCCAAGGATTTAATGTGTTGATAAATTCATTGATTTAACAAGTTGAAGGTTCAAGAAAATGTTGATATTGACAAAACTAGGAGTTGAGGAGACGTTATTATGGTTTGAAACCCCTAGAGCTCGATCAATGGTTTCAATGAAACAATGGCTGGAACGAAATGAATAAAATTATAATTATTTCTGCCTGGATTAGTTTCAGTTCATGGTTTACCTACTCACCCGGATCTCAGGGTACCTCTTATAATAGAAGAGCTAAGAAATGCAACAAGTTGCAACGATAACTCCGTGGGTTTGAAATGCCAACAAGAACTAGGTTTCTTTCTTCGAAGAGGATGTATTTGCTTTATGTATTTGACTGAACTAGCAAAAATATAAGTTCTAGCTTTCAGTTTTTATAATACGTTAAAAAACACCTGTTCAACTTTTAGGCAAAATTTTCTTTTTTTCACTTAATCTGTCGGAGGCTGGTTTGTAATGAATATATCAGGGTGCGAGGTATTTGTTTGGTTTAAGGGTGCTAAAGAGCTCCCTGCCGGGTACCAATTTAGTGTGAACTCTACCATTAATTAAACTGTCCTAAACCCAACCCTCACTCACCGGAGTCTATCTTTATTATACCTAGAGCATCTAGCTAAACCCCAATCTCAGTTAAACGTTTATTTGAACATGTCAAATCTTTTCGTTTTTTTCTGATTCATTTCTAAACGTCCTGGTCTTCAGGGTTTTCCAGGTTCTTGTGACCATCCCGGGTTTCCTGGTTCTCCTGATTATCATCTTATCCTTTTTATCTGATTATTCGGGGTTTCTTTCGTCCTTTTCTCAATAGTTCTCCAGATATTTTTGGTTCTTCTTTAGTTTATTTAGTACTTTTGTTTCTCCTGGTTCCTATTGTTCCCTGGTTTCATTGGTTCTTTTAGTTCTCCTTGTCTTAGGTTGTTCTTCTTGAGCAAAATCTTCAATTATAACTCATGAAACGCTAGATAAATCTTCTTTTAAAAAGTTTGGTCACGTTTCTTGATCTCTTTTCAAGTGCATTGCTCCTTAGTAATCTTAACGCTAGGATGGTTTCAGCTCATGAGTAGCGGAGGCGAAAGTTTAAAATTATTAAAAAGAGTTGATCTTCAGATAAGCTAAGATAATCTTGGTTTTAAGTTAAGAACGAATTTAAACGTTTTTTAAGAAATTAAACAATAAGGTTTGATTATAATGTTTACAACAACTTAATTTAAACCTGTGTATATAGTTAGCTTGAATTCTAGGCAATACCAGGCAGGATCATGGTACTGCATGAAACTGCATAGGCTTGCATTCCAGGCAACCTGGTCCTTGCATAGGTAACTGCTTTCATACACTGCTTAGAACAAACGCAGATAGCTATTTCTATTTCAATATTTCAAAGAATTTAAAAGTTTTATGAAATTTGTCCGGGGGGTATTCATGCAATATCGGTTATGGTAAATTGAGTTTTGGAATGTATGAGGGGGGGGGGGCTTAGGCCAAGGAGATGTTGCTATTTTTAGTTAGGATGACATATGGGATCCATGAAGGGGAAGGAAGGAGGAGGAGGGGGAGGAAGGGAGAGGGGGAATGCGGGGGAGTTTGAAATTATCTATTAAGGCCTTGAACCTGTTTACTTGTAGTTGCCGTGTTGTAAAATTGTTTAAACTTTAACAAGAACAAGATTAAGAACAAGATTATCACCTTTAATACGTATACTAATATATATGTGTTTGTATAAATATATGAAACCCTAGAACTGGTATAATTACATACATAACCTACAGCAGAATAAATTCCAATAAATATAGGAAATACATGATATTCGTTTAACGTCATATCTTTATTAGAACTAAGGATTTCATAAATCTAAAAAGTTTTTAAAGGAAAAATCTATTTTTAATGGCATGTTTTGGTGAATATTATTTGATTTTCAAATCTATTTCAAATTCAACCTTTAAATCTATTTATATCTATTTATCTATCTTCCTATATCTATTTATCCAACTTTGTTAATTTTTCTATTCATCTATTTATCTTTTTTCTATTTATTTAATTTCTCTATTCATCTATTTATCTATTAATCTATTTGATTTATCTATTTATCTATAAATCTTTTTTATGTAGATACTTATATCTATATCTATTAATCTATTTGATTTATCTATTAATAAATCTATTTATAATTTATCTATTTATCTATTTATGTACTAATATCTATCTATTCATATTTATCTATTTATTTATAATATAATCGATAATTGTTGCTCGGCGCTGCCTGGTTTCCCGCTACAGGTGCCGCGCCGCGGAAATATGACTTATAGTCCTTTGTTCCCTGGTTGCTTGGTGTGGTATAGGCTGAAACCTTTAGAGTAAAGAGGCCCGGTTATTAAAAGGATATTTATGGTTAGAGTTAATTTTTGCAGAATTTGGAGTTGAAAAAAGGGAGGGGTCGGACGAAGCGAGAGAGATTTAAGATGGAGTAAGATCATGAGGATATAAAGAGAGGGGACAGCCGAAGGATAGAGAGATAAAGAGAGAGATCATATATAAGATATAGAAGGATAGAAAACAAGAAACCAAGAGAAAAAGTTTAAAGGATGATTAGAAAATTAGAAACCTAAAAATAAATTATGAAGGATAGAAGGATAGAAGGATAGAAAACTAGAAACCAAGGGATAAAGTGTAGAGTATAGAAGGATAGAAGGATAGAAAACTAGAAACCAAGGGATAAAGTATAGAGGATAGAAGGATGGAAGGATAGAAAACTAGAAACCAAGGGATAGCATATAGAGGATAGAAGGATGGAAGGATAGACAACTAGAAACCAAGGGATAAAGTATAGAGGATAAAAGGATAGAAAACTAGAGAGCTAGTAAGAGAGAGTATCATGCAGTAGTATTGATCTATTTGGAACCCTAGTCTCCACTATATAATATATATATACGGCCTCTAAAGCCCTAATATCGATTTATTGGTTCGGCCTCCATGGAACCGCTATAAGGCCCCAGTTTGAATCCTGCACCCTCCATCCTACCATCTTGGTGCCCCTGGGGGATTTCAACGTTAACTTCCTGCTCCCTCCCCTTGACAGTGATTTGACATCCCTGGAAGTTGTTTTCCCGGTGATTAGGGATTTGTTAATGTGATCCGTGATTGTTGTAAAAATTGTTATTTGTGATTGTGATTGTGTGAAAATGGTCTCTTTTTGGCTGATTTTGGGGCTTTGCACTCCTCTTCATGCTATCCCATTCTTATAACTGCCATATCATATATACAAAAATATATACACTGTAAATTGCCGATCGTTCATAGGTAATACTTATATTTATGAAATTAAACGTAAACATACATTTGTATTTAGTTTTTTCATCATTTTGTTCGTTTTTTGTGGGAAAAAAATAATTGTTGTGTTGAATTTTTGTAAAATCTAATTTCTATTTCTTTTTTCAGGAATGAGTATCGGCTGACCCAAATCTGAACTCACCCACCCGGTCAATGTACTAGTCCTATCCCCGCCACAACCGCCAATCGCCGACAAAATGGCGATATCACAGCCTCAGCAGTATTGTCTGCGGTGGAATAATCACCAACACAATCTCCTCTCTGTATTTGAGGATCTCCTGAATCACGAGGCATTTGTTGATGTAACACTAGCCTGCGAGGGGTTGAACTTGAAGGCGCATAAGATGGTTCTCTCCGCCTGCTCGCCCTACTTCCACTCCATGTTCTACAACACCCCGGATAAACACCCTGTAGTCTTCCTCAAGGATGTGCGCTACGAGGAGATGAAAGCTCTGCTGGAGTTTATGTATAGAGGAGAGGTTTCAGTGGACCAGGAGAACCTTAGTTCTCTGCTCAAGGTTGCTGAAGGATTAAAGATTAAAGGATTGGCGGATGTAAATGAATCCCATGGTGGTATTCCTGGACCTCGTTTATCTCTACCTCTCCCAAACCCTGCTCCTCACCTACCCATGTACCATGGGTCTCTTATGTCCCCGGAGCATTCCTTAAAAAGACTTCAGGCGTCCTCCAGTCCGCATGGGTTCTTAGGACCTAAGAGAAAGCGAGGTCGTCCTCGTAGACTCTCCGGAGCCGAATCCATTCCTCTAGCTGTAAACCTCTCTGAGGAGAGAATGAGAGAGGAAACATCATCTCCTTTACATCACACTCCTTCTCCTCATCATCATCCCTCTCCTCTCTCTCATCCCTCCCCTCTCCCTCATCCCTCCCCTCTCCAGCATACCTCCCCTCACCATCAACCTTCCCATGAAGATTCCTCCCATTCCTCCCATCCCTCCCATCCCTCCTCAAACCTTCCGGATACAATGGAGAATGAGCAAAGCCCCGTCAAAAGCCTTAAAGAAGGGACCGGAGCAATGTCGCTTTCACCCGAAGGTAAATACTTTTTTTAGAACATTTGTTATTAAATAAACTGAGATTTTGCCTCAAACTCAAATTTTATAATCCCTAAATCTTTGCAACCTGAATTTGATCTAACAGAATTCAAAGTTTGAAATATCAAAGGTCTACTAAACTGGGTCACAAAGATGGCAAAATCAGAGTTTTTGGCAAAAACTTTGGAGGACGTTTCGTATCTAAAGATCCATTATAACTGAACGTTAAATTTCAACCTAATATCTCCGATTTAGATTTAATGTTAAGACATATTTCTGATCGATCGAACTATTTAAGATTCTTTGTGTTCCAGACTTTTCAATATGTCTCTCTCCCACCCGGTCCGACATTATTTTACAGATATTGTAAATATTCTATTTTTCCTACAAAGTGTCTGATTGTAATTTGAATTGTAAAAATGAGAGGTGGAGGTATTATACAATGGTTTATTAAACTTCAAAGCAGTTAAATCAAGTTAAATTCCGTCTAGACCGCGGCAAATCCTTTGTATAAGTTCTCACGCGCCTTCACAGTGCACTAAGTGCATTAATTGCATTTTTAAGTATTAAAAATGAACTTATGGAACCCGAGAGATTTAGGATAAAATTTAAAATATTTGAACGGATTGTGAAGGATCTGAGTCCGCGCGTTTTGACCATTATAAAGGATCTTGTATCCCTAGTTACATAAATCACTGTCAAACAGTTTGAATAATCTTGAAATCGATTTAATATTTCTTGGACTTAGATATTCCCTCCAAAGTAGACCCTTTACCATTATTTATTGATTTAAAGCTTTCTTTATATTGGAGAACTTAATATTAATAGATTTAATTTACCCTACAATCACAATTCATGTGTATTTCCTATTCTTACTATTATTCTTTTTATAACATTCATGTCATTATTATCCTTTCTGTCCTTCCTATTCTTCCTTTTTTACCTATCCTTTCTGTACTTCTATTCTTTATATTTTCATATCCTTCATATCCTTTTTATACTTCTATTCTTTATATTTTCATATCCTTCCTGTCCTTTCTATACTGCTATTCTTTATATTTTCATATCCTTCATATCCTTTTTATACTTCTATTCTTTATATTTTCATATCCTTCATATCCTTTTTATACTTCTATTCTTTATATTTTCATATCCTTCATATCCTTTCTATACTTCTATTCTTTATATTTTCATATCCTTCATATCCTTTCTATACTTCTATTCTTTATATTTTCATATCCTTCCTGTCCTTTCTATACTGCTATTCTTTATATTTTCACATCCTTCATTTCCTTTCTATACTTCTATTCTTTATATTTTCATATCCTTCCTATCCTTTCTATACTTCTATTCTTTATATTTTCATATCCTTCATATCCTTTCTATACTTCTATTGTTTATATTTTCATATCCTTCATATCCTTTCTCTTCTTCATATCCCTCTTATTTTCTTATCCTTTCTATCCTTTCTCTTCTTCCTATCCCTCTTATTTTTCATATCATTCCTATCCTTTCTCTTCTTCCTATCCCTCTTATTTTTTATATCATTCCAATCCTTTCTCTTCTTCCTATCCTTCTTATTTTTCATATCATTCCTATCCTTTCTCTTCTTCCTATCCCTCTTATTTTTCATATCATTCCAATCCTTTCTCTTCTTCCTATCCCTCTTCTGCCCCCTCCCTCCCTCATCCTCCTTCTCTATCCTCCTTCTATCCTCCTTTTCCCTCCCAATTCCCATCTATTGATCCAAGACTCCGTTTTTCCTTGCTGCAATCCCTGCCAACTTTGCATAAAGTATTTTCTGTAGCAATTTTTTCTTTTTTCAGAATATTCAAATTTATTTCATCTATGGCATAGATCATTTTCTGTAATCAAATATACCAGAATTGTTAACATTTAAAATATTAACCTCTTTTCCACAAATTCTTAAACATTTTCGTGTTTAGATTTGAAAGTAAGCGACTTTCCCTCTGAGGCCGAGAGTAACGACGGGCGCAGCTCAGGTGTGTATTTTTACTTTTTAAATTTCCCGCATTTGATTCGCTGAATTTTATTTTTGAAAATTTCTTTTTGAAAGACGACATTTATTTCGTGCATTTAGTTAAATTTTGTTTTTATTTATTAACATTATCCATAGTTGGTTGCGGAATAAGGATGGTTCCCAAGAAAAGGCTTTACATCAGTCACAGTATAGGAGACAGTGGAACCGAATCTTTTGAATGTGAATCAACAGGATCAGCGCATTCATCAACATCCGTCTCCTCTGTTCTAAATCCTACCCCGAGATCCTCTCTCAACGACGACCTTCCCCAGCCTCAGAACCTTTCGCTCAAGAAACCGGACAGAGAAAGCCGTGACAACGTAAATATATTCGACAGCCAGCCTAAATTGGAGCCAAAGGAGGAGACCTACGATCACAAGGACTTGAATCGTCCATACTGGGACGAACGGCTTGCCTATTCGTCCCTAACCTCCGGACTGATGTTAGAATCCCCAATAAAGATGTCCTCCAGCCCCCGACATAGTATGGATTCAGATCCATGCTCTCCCTGTCCTTCCCCCTACTTGATGTCCTACCAGTTCCAGGAGAAGGTTGAGGCGGAGCTGGCCAACCTTTACAAGAACGGGTTGGGTTTAAACTCCTCCGCTGACTCCGCGACTCCGATCAGTATCCGAAGCTTCTGTATTCAGGATGGGAACAATTACAGGTGCAAGGTTTGCAATAATGCGTATACCCATCCTTCAAACTTCCATCGACATTACGTCACTACGCATCTTCAGCGTAAATCCTATCCTTGCAATGTTTGTCATAAAAAATTTAATCGGAAAGACAACATGACGGCTCATCTCCGAGCTGTTCATGGTTGGGGAGGAACTGGATTAGGAACGGATTCCACCAACAATCCCTCCGATCTCCCGCCTCCGATTCAGGATAATCTTGCCCCACAAATCGTTATCTGATCCACATGGATGTTTTCACCAGTTCCAGTGCAATATACATTTATATAAAATCCTTCAATTTTTAACCAAAAACTTACAGAGCGATTAAAATTGTCAGATTTTTTTTCTAAAAGCCTATATGTATATTTATGCTCGGAGAGTCCAATAGAATTGTAAATATTTCTAGTAATTGAGCAGCAGTGCTCGGTACTTTTTTCAGTTACCATAAAAATTGCTCAACGCTTTAAAAAGACCTCACATTTTGTTACCTAACTTTTTTTATGTATTAATAGTAAAATTTTGATTTTTTTTCATTGTATGTAAAATAATGTTAAGATATGAAATATTGTCTTAAACCGGCTTAGACGAATCTCTATCCAGTTACCAGATTATTCACACGGTTACCAGAATATTGTAATCTAGTTACCAGACGATTTTACGTTACCAGAATATTGTAATCTAGTTACCAGACGGTGTTACGTTACCAGAATATTGTAATCTAGTTACCAGACGGTGTTACGTTACCAGAATATTGTAGTCCATCACTTCATTGTAGTTTATATCTTTGTAGTCAAAAATGTCACGGTGCTCCCTTTCTTATTGTATAGTTGTAGCTTTAAAGTCTTTTTTTTACAGTGCTAAACTGGCTTTATGTTTATCTTCTGTACAAAGTTATATTTCAACAAATTTTATATTCTTTATTTTCTTTCAAATTTCTAAAAATCTTCCTACTTAGAAATTTTTTGGCTCATTTTGAAAAATATCCAATATTTACTTTTCACCTTCTTTACATGCGTTTACTATTTACAAATGGCATTTTAATTTATACGAGAAAATACTTTAGTACTCAATTACTCAAGAACGTCTTTATAAGACTGTTTTCACATTTTATTTTTTATTTCAATTTTTTTGATTTTTAATCTTGCAGCTTGAAGCTTTCGTCTGATGAGTTTTACTGCTTTTTAAAGCTCTGTACATAGGCTTACTTCAGGGCATTCATTACCTAGCGTTAAACAAATTTATATTATTTTTCTAACTTTGATTTATAAATAATTGATCATATTTTTCTTGGTCGATTTGTATAAATTTTGGCATTCAACCTATTTGGTATTATATAAGGGCATTTTCAGACAAATTCACAGAATTAAGGCAGTTTGCATTTAAAGTTATTTTGTATTTATGTAAAAATATTTTTTTAAACAACAGTCCATGTCTTCCAACAGGCCAATAGAACATCACATGTTTGATACCTTAGTGCCTTAAATTGTACAAAGAATGTATTTTTATACTTTACATTTTATACTTTTGTAAATAATAAAATGATTAGCATGTATATTAGATTAGCATGTATATTAGATTTTAAACGTTTTCAGCAACGTCAAGTTGAAGAGAGAAAAAGATTAGCAGACATTGTTATAATTTTATCCTTCTTAGTTAGAACCTAACCTAATTCTATTCCTATCTATTGTTCTAATCTTTTCTATTCTTGTGCTTATCTCATCTATCCTTGTCCTAATCTCATCTATTCTTGTCCTTATCTCATCAATACTTGTCCTCATCTCATCTTTCCTTGTCCTAATCTCATCTATCCTTGTCCTAATCTCATCAATCCTAGCCTCATCTCATCTATCCTTTTCCCTAATCTCATCTATCCTGGTCCTAATATCATCTATTCTTGTTCTAATCTCATCTATCCTTGTCTTAATATCATGCATCCTTGTCCTAATCTCATTTATCTTTGTTCTATTCTCCTCTAGCCTTTCTTAAATTCATCTACCCTTGTCCTTATCTCATCTATCTTTGTCCTTAATTCATCTATCCTTGTCCTAATATCATCTATCCGTATCCTAATTTTATCTGCACCTGTCCTTATCTCATCTACCTTGTCCTAATCTCATATATGCTTTTCCTAATGTTATCTTTACTAGTCCTAATCTCATCTATCCTTGTCCTAATCTCCTCTTTCCTAGTCCTAATCTCATCTAACCGAATTCTATCTCATCTAACTTTGTTCTAATCTCATCTATCCTTTTCATTATCTCATCTATTATTTTCCTAATCTCTTTATCCTTGTCCTAATCTTATCTACCCTTGTCCTAATCTCGTCTATTATATATTATTGTCCTAATTTTAAATACTCCTTTCCTAGTCATATTTATCCTTGTCCTAATCTCTTTATCATTGTCCTAATCTCGTCTGTCGTTGTCATAAGCTCAATATCCTTGTCCTAATCTCTTATCCTTGTCCTAATCTCGTCTATCCTCGTAATAATCTCATCTACATTTTTCCTAATCTCATCTATCCTTGTCCTTGTCTCATATCCTTGTCCTAATCATATCTATCCTTGTCGTGTATCCGTATTTAATGAATTTGAGCCGCGGCTTAAATCTGCCAAAAACCGGTTTAAATTGAGCGCCGGCTAAAGTCTTGAAAAATTTAATACAACTTTAAGTGGAACCAACCATAATTGAGCCGCGGCTTAGATTTAAGCCTCTGATCGTTTAAATATCCTTGTCCTAATCGCGTCTATCTTTGTCCTAATCATATTTATCCTTGTCCTGATCATATCTATCCTTGTCCTTCTTATCTATCCTTTTCCTCTTCGCTAGTGAATCAATAATAAATTTGCCTAATAGAATACATGCACCGGCTCTTCTTAAACTCTTATATATTTAGTTCCTCCTTCATCACTTCATAAAATTCAGAGATAATCCCTTTCAAAATCACGAAACCTGCCTTCTCTAATTTTACCCCGAAACCTCTCCAAATACTCGGTAGAATTAAACTAGAAGTTTATCTCAACTGTTTAGGAAGTAAAACCTTCCTTTTCTAACTAAGTATCCCAGCTTCCGACTAGTTAGTGTCGGGTTAAGAATGGAAAGAAGTTTAAATTATGACTGGTTTGGTCACCATTCAACCATAAGGTCTGTCATTGATGGAGAATATGGGTGGGGGGGGGGGGGGTTTTTCTTTTAATAACTTTTATAAGAAATTTATAATTTAAACAAAATAGGTTTATGTATTAAAATATTGAAAAAGGTTAGTGCTACTGTTAAAATCCAAAATTCTATAAAGTCAATTTTCCCCGCTTGAAAAAAGGAATTGAGTCTATGCAACAATTCCGAATTTTTTTAATCCTATATCCCTACAATCAGATGATATAAACCTTTTACATTTAAAACTTAATTTGTTTTATCCAACAGAATTCACAGTTTGAAATAATTAATATCTACGACATTTGGTTGTAAAGATATAGGGATAACATCAGAGTTTGTGGCAAAGACTGAATTCTTTTTAATACACTTAAATACTTAAATACACTTTTAAAAAAAACAAATTTTGAATTAGAAACACTATTAAGTCTATCTTATATCGCTCAAAGATGGTTTAAAAAGAATTGAAATGGAATCGCGCTCAGGATCAACTTTGAGCCACGAAGATTCCTAACTTTAAAAATAATGTGCATTTTCGAAAAATGGAAAATTTTCCTATGTACAATTAATTCTACGTAGAAATAATCCTTACCATTTGTTGTGTTCCAAGTTTATGTGATTGTGTGATAAAAATAAAAGATTTATTTTGATGAAAATAATGAATTTCAAGTATATGAAGACAGGCACAATATATTAAAACTCAGGATAACGCTGACTAAGTATAATTGGGTTTACAGCTCGGTTATAAAACAGAAAACAAATTTTAAATCAATTTTATTTTTCTCACTTTCAACAGAAACCAACAGATAAAAACCTATTTAAGCAGGATAGCAGTTCATAAAAAGGGGTTAAAGGAATTGAGTTTTTTTTCACAAACTATGATTTTCTAATCTCTATATCTTTGTAATCCAATGCCGTAGACCTTAGATATTTCAAACTATGAATTCTGTTAGATGAAAAAATCTAAGTTTGAAATATCAACGGTTTACACCATCAGGTGGAAAAAATATAGGTATTAGAAAATCAGAGTTTGTTACAACGACTCAATTCCTTTAAATGCAGTTTTCCAAAGTACATTTTCTGAAGCGTGATTTAAAAACCACTTTCCTTTCCCTTTGAAAATGGTTTTTATGTTTGGAAAAACTACCTGACATTAATTTAGAAATGAGAGGATAGATTTTCTTTATCTTTTCCAATTCCTAGTTCTACCCTTTATTTTATATCCTTTTCTTTTTTGTTACCTTATAATACCTTTTTTTCCTATTTTGTTCTCTTTTAGGTTTTGTTTTCTTTTTTGTTTTTTGTTACCTTAATACCTTTTTCCTATTTTGTTCTCTTTTAGGTTTTGTTTTCCTTTATTGTTTTTTGTTACCTTAATACCTTTTTTCCTAATTTGATCTCTTTTAGGTTTTGTTTTCTTTTTTTTGTTACCTTAATACCTTTTTTCCTATTTTGATCTCTTTTAGGCTTTTTTTTATTTGTTGCCTTAATACCTTTTTTCCTATTTTGATCTCTTTTAGGTTTTGTTTTGTTTTTATTTTTTGTTTCATTATATTATTTTGATTCCTTTTCCTATTTTAACCTATTTTCTTTTTTCTGTATTGTTTTCATTTTAGCAAAGTGGATCAAGGGTCTTGTTTTACTATTAAACCAACTATAAGCCAAAAGTTTAAATAAATGTAATCATAATTTTTTCTATCTGAGTTGGTTTGTTATAGTTCGACAATATTCATTAATCTTTGAAAATAAAACTTAAAAAAAAAAATAATATTAGGGAGAGTTTGCTGAAAAATCGATCGTTTTTTTCTTTTTTACCTGTCTCAATGGAAGTAAATCTAAGAAAAGTTTTTTTGTTTATATTACCTGTGACAAGTTTGAATAGAGATTGCACAGGTTCAGTCCCCCCGTCCTTACGGCTCTTGTTTACATTCTTTGTTATTGTTCTGATAAAACTAGCTCATGAGTTTTCCTTGTCTGTACCGTACAACACAAACAGTGTACTGTGTAGGCTCCATATGAAAAGTTACATACATTTCTAAGACTGGGTTAACTTTGAAGTGTCGTAACTTCTTGGACTTTGATTTTACCTCACTAGCTCATTGACACTGTTATGTAGTCCTGGTAACATTTTAAAACTTAAACATTTTTTTTTTAGCTTTAGCACTCCTTTATGCCGAGTCAATTAGCGCCTGATACAATCAGGGTTCAGTCACGTGTTTGTTGTCTATTCTGAACCAATAGAAATAGTATGGCGGTAACATCTATCCTTCTATCTATTTCATCATCCAATAAGAGATAAATCCTTATATCGGCGCTATAACAGTTAATGGAAATATTTACTTCTATTGCAACTATAGTGTTAGTTTGAAGGAGGACAGACTTGAAGGAACAGAAATGTTGCCAATCTAATAATCTAATAATCTATAATCTAACTATAATGATATAAGGTCTCTAATCAGTTTATAATCTAACTATAATGATATAAGGTCTCTAATCAGTTTATAATCTAACTATAATGATATGAGGTCTCTAATCAGTTTAAAATCTAACTATAATGATATAAGGTCTCTAATCACAATTTCAAGCTTTGATTTCATGCAAAGTGGGCAATGCCTTATTCACAACGGTACCCTTGACATCTTATATCTGAGTAATACTGTGCAAGATATTGTCTAGGTTTTAAAGCGTTTAATTCTGATAATTCCTGTATGTTTTCATGCAGTAGAAAGGCGTAAGTATCTTTTGTAAAGAAACCACATTTAAAAATAGTCAGTTTTTCAAATTATTAACAATTAAATCTTATTCATACCTGATCAGACAATACTTTAAGGGTACCGTTGTAAATTGGGCATTACTATCTTTGCATGAATACTTACGTAGCCATACAATACAAATCTTCATTAATCCTGAAAAAACTTTTTAGTTTTCTGATTTAAAATACATCAATACAATTATTTTTGCGGAACAAACTGCAGTTGTTTGTGCAATGAAGTTTAACAACTTTAGCTGCAGCTTCTCCAACGTAGACTCAAGGGTGTAAACAGAGGGGGGGGCAAGAGAAAGTGACCTCTTCTACCCTTTTTGAAGCTTATTACTTATCAACTTATTATTTTGGAATTTGTATCTTGAAATTTTTATTTAAATCTTTTTAATTTTTAAATGCAGGATAGAAGAAAATGGCTAAAAACTATTTTTTTTAAATTGCATGAACAGTTTTTGTTACTCTGTTTCAACTTTCCATCAAGCTATATTTTTAATTTTTATTCTATTTTCAGGTTTGTTAAAATCTCCTCCTGTAAAAACTAAAGAAGAGAAGGGATCCAAAAACTCCCGGTCCAACCGACCTAATCCCTCCCCCTCGGGAACCCGGGGAAACCTCTCCTCACAACCGGGTCCGGAT